AAACCAATACAAGAAAATTCCTTTCCACTAATGCTCTGCTCGTTATTATAAACAATCACTACTACTCGAGTACTATATATAATATATCTATTCATATACAAAGTATTTTTTGGGTATAATTATGGCTGGGGTTTTGTATTTCCTAATTCTTAATATTCAGTTATCGACTTATCAACACTCAACTACTCGAGTATCTATATATCAACTCTTAACTTCTCAGCTCTCAACACATATATCCCATATCAATCAGTCCCTTTCCCAAGTTTCACTCGATCACAAAAACCCCTATGAAACAAGATCCTTCTCCTTCCATCTCTACTCTCTATTCTCCAAAGAACCAAAAACCAAATTTCACTCAAAATACATTTTAAATTTCTCAATATCTCATCAACCTTTATCACTCACTATATCTATATTGCATCCCATGTATTTTACTATCATGAATCCTCATTCTTGTGCTATATACATATCTCAAGTGATGAAATGAAAAGAAAATGACCAAAGAAAACCCTATTCCCATCCCCATCCCCATCCACATTTTAGAAAATAGCAAAAGTATGACTGCCATAAAAAAAAACATAAAAAGCAAAAAGCAAAAAGCAAAAATTGTACCGCAAAGCCATTGCCATATGGAAAATGTACACCAACAAAATATTCACCAAATATGACAAATCCTCCATTGTAGATCCCATCAACCTGCACATCATCCATGTATACATCAGTTCTTCTTTCCCTTCTTGCCAACTACCGTCCACTCAGATTCCTCTTTTTCGATTGTTAGAGCCATGATCGTGCGATTCGTGTTGACTTTCTTGATTTTCTTAACAGTATTTACGATACCATCTGAGCTATAACCAACTGCAGCTGCCCATGTAGAAGGCTTTGGAGTAGTAGTGATGTTCGATTTATTGTAGGTTCGAACAAGATCATTCAGACCATCTTGACCCATTTCCTTCTCTCGACCAACAGAATCGTCAACAAGTCCCTCAGATTCGAAGCACTTCCAACCCTTTTTCTTATTCCCAAGAGACACCTTCGAGAAGCTCTTTGTTGGTTTTGGCTTTTGTTTGAGCTTTGACTCATTGGCGGTGGTGATTTTCAAAACTCGAGTTCCCTTGTGTTTCTGCTTCTGCTTGTTGATGACCTCATCTTCGGTGTCCTTTGCCATTTCTTGCACAACCTCTCCCTCAGCTCTCAACTTCGCAGGTATAGCCTCGTCAGCGACAGCTTCGCCTTTGTCCTCTGTTGTGTCGTAGATTACAACTTCCTCTTCTAATTTGTTGATCTGTCCATTCCCCAAATCATCGCCAAAAATCTCTGTTTCAGTCTTCATCACAATCATCTTCTGACCAGTCGCCCAGTCGATTGTCTTGTGGTATTCAAGGATGTTTCGAAAGGCGGTTCGTCCAGCCCATCTCCAAAATCCTGCCTCTCTGATGATAGCTTCCCCTTCTTCACTTTCGATAACCTGTAGATCATTTCTGATGGCAATGATCAGCTTTCCTATCAATTCTTTTCTGGCTTTCGGATGATAGAGTGGATTAACATCAATTCCAAGATAGTAGAAGATTTTGGCATCAATGCCACCATATGGATCATTTGTGTATGTCGTTTCGGGATTGAACTTTTGTTGATGACCACGGATCTTAGATTGCCTTCTTGGCGTCGTTTTCGTGAGTTTTCTAGCCGCTCTTTGTTGCTTTGGAGTTGGGTAATTGGGGGTTTTATAGACTTTGTTCGAGGCTGGAGCAGGTGACTGGACAGCGTAGGCATCACATTCTTCGTCTTCCACCTCAACTACATCATTACTTTCGAATGAAGCATCGGCATGTCGGTTATCATAAGCATATGTGCCTCCCCAAGCACCTTTGCTTTCATGTATCTGGCCATGCAATGCCTCACTAATGCCATTGACATCATCTTGACTATATATGTCAACATTTCCCCTAGTCCTTGCTCCCAACTTCTTTGCTTTTTTCCTTTCTCGCCTTGTCAAATTCTCTTCTTCGAAGCTCATGCCGGAAATAATATCGGTTGTCTCAGAAGTAGTCTCAGAATCCATCCGTTTCTTCTCAGGTCCGTCTTTCCTTTTCATCAATTGAGAATCAAGAGACAACTCCTTTTGGTCAAATGTGTTAATCTCGCGAACAATGGTCAAAATCTCCTTGTGCCGAGTATGGTGCATCTCATCAGACTTGTTGCATCTGTCACAGTCAGCAATCTAGCTTGTTAGATGTCGTGGATCATTATAAATACCCTAGGCATTCATGAGATTTTCCTTCATAGGGTATTCAAATTAGCCTTGTCATTACCGAATACTCATGAGGTTGTGCATATCATATGTAAAGAAAGATGTGTCTGCGCTTTCCACCTAGTCTAGCACATATGCCAATTTGGAGATGTAATCATCAACCATAAAATGCTCGAGCACAGGGCCATTAAATTAGGGGGGTTTTGGACTTACCAAGGAAATGCAGCTGCTGGTGATAGCGGAAGCAAGGTTCGACGTGTTTACCAAGACAGGAAGATTTGGAACGGGCATCTGTGAGGAGTAGGATGGTGAGCAATTCTGCCACAGGTCATATGTGATTCTTTTGGCTAAACTTACTATGTAGTGGTGTTGCACATATTCCACAATGATGCTCTAAGGACTGTTATTATATTGCTAAGTAAAAGTAAGGCTATGAAGTCTCGTACCTAAGCCGGGTGATACATCCCATCTGTACAAATTCTTGCCCTTGTAGAGACGGTATTCAGGAGTAAGAATCGCCCAGTTCATAATTGCAAGTACTGTGCAAGGTAGTTGAACTTGAAGTGGTAAGGTTTTGATGGCGACGAGGTTGTTTAGCTTGAGGATTGTAAGTATATGAACCTTTTGGTATTGAAGTTGACTTGTAAGAGAAGTGCTTGATTGAATTGACTTGGCTCATTTAATGAAAACATCAAATTCGAAGTTCCGAGTCAAACAAGCTCTGTTATTGTTAAGTCAAAGGCTAGCTAGCTCACGAGGTAAACGGAATATAAGACAAGATGAAAGAACCCGTCGGCCTCGCTTTGGATGGGTGAAGATAATTAGATCGATAACGATCTTTCTTTGATTTGGTATCGATGAAGTCTCAAGGAGGCCCTCAGCGGTAGCTAATGGATGACATATATATCTTGGAGGGGGTGGAGGGGGTGGAGGGGAATAATATAATTTACTTACTTGGTGCAATGCTAACAATTTATTGTTTATTTTTACTGTAAGAGACAAGAGACTTCGAGAATGAAAAGGCGTAGTGAACCTGTTTGTATTGTTTGTATGGGTTACAGTATTGATGGCGAATATTTATTTTATTGAGTTCAGGGTTGGGTTCGGGGTCGGTGGAGGATTGGAGCTTTAACTTATACTCGAGTAAGATAAATAAGATCGACCTAGAGATACTAGGTGTAATTAGTACATAAAGATAGTCAGATAAATTTCGTAGTACAATCAATGCGGTCCAACATTCCAATAGGCGGATGCGAATATGGGATTGAATGATTTTGGCCGTTATCTTTCTTGCTTGGACTTATAAGGCTTGTGTAATTGACTTTAGAAGCGATGAATGAACGTGATCCGCCGAACGTAATGCGTGAATCGTGAATTGTGATGCGAAGTTTGAGTGAATGTCTTTGGTCGCGATATGATTTTATATCTTTTCCTTCCCAATTTCATATGCCAGGTAAAACTGCTCAATTATCATCCATGTGTGACTGACTTATAATCAGTGTTATCGGATCATAATATCAAGCAATTGATGACTTCAGAATATAACCGTAATCTTTTAACTAAATGCTTTCTTGATTTGGTTTGGTGCTTGTCATGTAAATCCAGGTGCCCTCTCAGGTTCTTGAGGTGTGGAAGGAGTGAATGACGGAATTATTGGGGGATATTGGGGGTGGTTCCCAGCAAGTGTTGTTTTAGCGTGTCGAATGTACTCTATATAGAACCCATAAGAACTTCTCTTGGATCAGAAACAGCTGCGTAATGCTGATATACGCGCCTCATATGGAAGATAACTCTGATAACTCGATGATGATTGTTTGTGAAGGCTGACTTGCTGAATGTATTGTTGAATGTATCGTTGAATGCTGTGGGTTGATTTAGGTATATCCTCTTTCTTCTTTCTTTCTGTCTGAATTTTGATTAAGAATCGAATTGGCTCCTGAAGCTGGACTGGACTGGACTGGACTGTTTATCAAAAAGAATGTCGTCCCTCGAAGAAATTACCTAGGTAGGTATTGTATTGTAAAAGAGTGGTTTGAATGATGAATGAGATGAATGAGATGAATGAGATGAATGAGATGAATGAGATGAATGAGATGAATGGATTGATGAGATGAATGAGATGAATGGTTGAATGGATTGATGAGATGAATACACCTACTAGGTACATAGGTACTAGGTAGATATCTATCAGAAATTGATGTGAAAAAGAAAGTAAATACCTACCTAATACCTAATATATAATACCTACCTAGGTATAGAAGTGAAGTGTGAAAGTGGGGAATGTCATGCTCTATGCTCTATGGCTCTATTGGAAGTTTGTTTGTCAAAAAAGGAAGGCAGAATCTTGATTCAAACAAAGTCAAGCTGACTGTTTGAAAGCTCGGATAAGTACCTACCTACCCATGCATCATACTCATACACGCTTCAAAATTCAGTAGCAACAACATGAAATGAGTCTCAGTCTCAAAAAGTTCAGAAAATTCATTGAATTCCGGTACGCACTGCTAGTTTCATTCGAAAGTGTCAGTGAAGTGTGTCGTTGCTTCCATTTGATATCCCTTCAATTATCCATTAAAAAAACAAAACTTTAATCGCAGCATTTGTTCAACCAACTTCATCCATTGTGTGACTGACTACATTGTGGCCTCATCGAAACGAAGTTGATTCGCTCGAGGAATGAGTGCCGTGCTTCATCCCCTGTTGAATGATAAATGAAGCTTTACCGCCACATTCGAAGTATGCAGCCAACCTACAAATCACGTACTAGGCGTGCACCGGCCCATGTGTATGGGTAGTTACGCTGGTACCAGTTGACACTACATAATCCTGTTAGTATAAAGACAAAGGACGAATCAATTTGACTTGGCTCACAATGTCTTTCTTCCAGCAATACGAGGATGAGTTGCCCAAGACCCTCCGAGAATAATATTGTGCTTTCCATCAAAGAAGTCGGCTATGAAGATCAGTGTCCAGACACAGATTAGAATGGAAAATGCGAGACAGACCAGTGTAGGCAGGATATAAAGGCATTGGCTCAAATCCTTCATGTTGACTCAGGGGAGAGCTGGTCCATTCCCAGACTCCACCCATATCAGCCTGTCCTGCAAGCTTGTCACCTCCGGCAGTAACGGATATTGGATGCCAGTTCTTAAATCCTACATTGGCACCTTCAAGGTTGGTAAAAAGCTCTTGTGAGCTTCCACAAACCTGAGAGGTTTGCGATGGCGGTGTCTCTTCGACACCCTCGTTGATAAGATGCCTGTTTAACAATTAGTCTTTGTGTTTGAGTCGTGGTTGTATCACCGCTAAGCCTACCCGTTCACGGCTGGAACAGTCTTGCCCAAATGTCTCTCTGCTTTCTTGATATTCAAGCCATCCACGTGACTATAAATACTTCGCGCCTCTTCCACCGTCGGTATTCGTCCCCCCATCCAGATTGCACATTTAGAAAGCTCGTCGTACGAAGCAAAGACTGGCCAATCTAGGGCGTGCTCAAGCGGAACCGGACCATAGACTGTTCGAAGCGCCTTGTCTTCAAGATATGCCTTAGTGAGTGGAGGCGGATTTGCCCCGTTTGTCGTTCCACTACTATGCCCATTCGAATCACCATTGGTGTGGCCATTAGACTTTTGATGTTGAGCCCATGAAGCTGGAATTTTGGTCTTGTGTGTCTGTACTAAAAAACGAGCGTACTGTGGCTGTTTAGAGGGAAGTCTTGTGAGAGTCTCATACGTTTCTTACCTCTTCATTGGTAATCGGTCGTCCTTTGGCTTCGAAAGATTGAACCAGAACTTTTCGGGAAGGCTTCTCATTATCCCTGTATAGTAGTGTTAGATTTACATCGTGCTTAAATCGAGTGTGTCCAGCATACCACCCGAAGTAATTGTTCGGTCCAGAATTGTCTTCTGGGTCATCTAATCCAATTGTGATTTCATGCTCTGGAATGGTAAACCATTCATTTGGCACCCGAGACATCTCAGCTCGTTTCGCTTCTCCCACGAAGTCTGGCCTAGCAGTAGTAGGTGGAATAGTTTTGTCACTTTGTAGTAACATGTACAAGAGAGTTTCCAAATGCATAGCTTCGTGTTCAAACCCCAACCAAAGCGCACGACCGAGATTTCTTGGGATATCTTGGCTTGCATAGAGCCTTTGAACCTTCCCTCTCACGTTTTCTTGATACGACAAAATCTCTTCAAGTGGTGGCCACTCGTCCGGAATCTCGGAGTGGGCATGACATTGCTCAGGGTTGTCAACATCCGGATCGATTCCCCTTTCAAAGATTGCGTGATAGGAAGAAGGCTCGCAGAGCGGCTCCTTTGTGACCTTAATCAGCTGCATATCTAGGAATGTCGGGATATGTCCCAGGTAAAATATGCAAGCATTTCGAAGTCTGATTGGCTTTTCAGTCAAATCTTCATTTGTAATCATTTTTCGGGTCACAGTATCCCATACTGACCACAAGCCTTTCCAATCCTCAAAAGTCGGGACCGTAGACGAGGCATAGACTTTTGGATTAGAGTCGAATGGCATTGTGTTCTTTGTCAGAAGGTGGATATCTTCAAAATTTAGGTCAGTAGGGAGCTCAATGGAACAGAAACAGCACTTTTCTTATGACAGAAGCAGTTTTGGTGTATGTCATGCCATTTGGATGTCAATCCCAAAAAGGAGTAGTTGAATAAGCATGCGCCACACAATCATGATTGGGAACTGCACCCCCACACTCGCGGTTTCTGTGATCATACGATCATGTATATTGACCAGTGGAGTCGAATATCCACATGTACATTGCCGATTCCAACCGAAATAGAGAGATATAAGAATGATAGGCTGCTACTCACTATATTCGTCGGTTGAAGCGGACCACCTTTGAGATTCTCTCATTCCAGCGTCCTTCAATAGCTTGGCTGTTTCCTGGGTTGAATATTTTAAACTAACTTCAATCTTCACGCGTTCTCCAGCTTTGATAAGAACATCTTTAACAGTAATATCGCGGGATGGCGTATAGAAGGCCTGGTGACGGCCTCCTTGCGAGTCGTATACATACTCTCCAATAACTGACCAATCGGTGATGTCGAAGACGTTTTCTTCGAGGATTTCGTTCGCCTGAACTAAACCGTTCAAGACAAACCTTTGCTAGAGTAAGCAGACGGTCGTAATGTTGTTATTGATGTTTTTGAATACATACCTGTGAGTGACTCCTTTCTCGTCTTATCGTCAAGGTCAGCATCGAGCAGAAGATTTGGGATGGGATCGACAGACCATTGTAAGCATGGCTGTAACAGGATTAGTCAGATAGCTACCTTTGAAGTAATGTACTGGGACTTACTAGATCTTTTCCGGGTCACCCGTCGCATCGATGGCAATGAGAAACATGTCCGATGGGCTCAGAATTTCCGTGAAACTCTTCAAAAATATCGATGCGTCGTGTCTTTGGAAGTTACCTGCAAATGGTAAGTTGATTATCGGCAAATTAAGTTCGAAAGACAAACCAATGCTAGACCCCATCGACAAAATACATTTTGGCCTAGAAGAGTTTTCTGGAAGTTTTAGCCACGCAAGACCATCGTCGTAAGTTCCATGAAGCCCATGGCATTTCACGTATTTGAATTCCGGAACCTGCTCTAGAGTCCTCTCCAACTCTCTCAATGACAGATCAAGTGCATAATAGTCGACAGATTTGCCGGCCGCATCTAAAGCTCGTAGAAGTATACTCACCTTGCGTAAATTACTGTTTATTGTTAGATCTGAAAGCTTCAAGGCCTAACGAAAATCACAAACCCGCTCCCCAGCTCAACAACCATAGAATTAGAAGGGATATTTGCTGCAATACTCTCCGCGGAACGTTCAAGGACATCAATCTCTGCGTTTGTAAGGTAATATTCAGGCAAATAAGTGATCTGTGTCTGAGTTAACATGAATGATAAGAGCATGACGTGAACAAACACTAACTTCTTCATATATTTGTAGACCCCGCTCATCGTATAGGAGCAGGGTAGGCAGACTCTTGAGACCACTTTGTGGCTTCAAAGATGCCAAGATTTCATCCTTCAACGCGATTTCGGCACCATCATGGCGGATGTCGATGATATTGAAGGTTGAATTGTGCCTTGATCTGGATTTGACTCCCGTGACTTTCGTCACATGAGGTGAAATACCTAAGATGTCCTCGACAGCACCGTTGGAAGTGCTGGGTATGGTCATTGTGCTGAAAGAGTTGAGACTGAGGAAATATGCAATATTGATGTCGGTGATATCAACGTAATCAAAGCCAGTTGAACATTAAAAGGAAATGAGTACTTATGAAGGAATGATGAAGTTACTGTACAGCCTGGTGGAAGAATGCAAATAGCCGAGGATATCTCACTTACCAATATCCAGTAGGTTGTACACAAAGATCTGACTGATATCTTTAAAACTCGGGTTAAGAAGGTTCCATTCTTTGTTGATCGATTGAATCATATGCAGGGGTGACCTCATATTACTAAAACCGATATGTCGACCCCCCGCTGTGATCGTATGATTGAAAGCTTTCTCATATAAGCCACAGTCTTATGAGTTTTAAGTATATGAGTTTTAAGTGAGTTATATATCAAATCGATTGGAATGTATAAACCGGTATGTCGGCACTTGGGACAATAGGACATCAATCATGATTTCCCTAGAATCCCACAAAAAGTAGTTAATTAATCCTTAAAAATCATCTATGTTATGTATATATATAAATAGTTTATATAATCACTTCTCATTGTGGTATATGACAAGTTAATTCCATTATAAAGAGCTCGGTTCTGAGCTTATCAATAACTTTGAAATCTACTTGCGTGTGTCGACTGGGAACTATAAATTGTTGGATGTCGTCCTAAACAAGGATGTGAAGTCATGCTGTACAGTAGTGAAGACCAAGTTGTGGTAGATCATAATGTATACCCACTGTAATAAAAAGAGGCTTGTTTCCACCCACCCCTGTCGCAAACAGTATTCAAACTCGATCAACTTGACGGAATCCTGGTCGATTATCACGTGATTACTCAAGTAATTTCTAATCTTATCGGCCCTTGGTTGCCCCGTGTGTTTGTTTACTTCTACAAACTTTACGAACTTTGTATACAAGGAGCAGTGAACAAGTATCCAAAACACACAAAAGTACTAGAATTGAGTACAACTTTCTGCGCTGCCGATATCAACCATACAATAGAAAGAAGAAAGACTAGATACAAGATGTCTTACAATCAACGAATGAGTATTGCGCCCAATTCGCAACAACAAAACTGCGGTAAAAAGGAGGAAGAGAGCGATTCATTCATGCGTCTGGTAAGATAGCTACATCATGATCGCATTCATTAAGTTCTCACTGACTGCATTAGCCTGATAAAGAAATTGCAGGATGTATCAGTGATATTGGGGTACCTTTTACTGCAGCGGACCTCTTGAAGCCCAATCCTCTCCAGATTCAAATGATTTTCGAATGGTTCGCAGAACTTCTCGCGAACACCACCCGCGATACAGTCGACCCTGCGATGCGTGCAGCTTCTGAAGATATATGTCAAGATTACCCCGATATAGTTCCCGCAGAAACACGAAATCTCATGGGTTTCTATGTCACTCTGCGCAAATTATTGTCTGAATGTGGCATTACGGACTTTTCATTTCAAGACTTGTACAAGCCAACACACGACCGCTTAGTGAAGATCTTTTCCTACATCATTAATTTTGTGCGATTCAGAGAGAGCCAAACACAAGTTATTGATGAGCATTTCAACAAGGCCGAGACGGCAAAAGTTCGAATCGAGTCACTATATATGGAGAACCAAGAGATGGAAAGTCGTCTGAACGAGTTGAAGCGGAACCGCAAGGCAATGGAGGTACATATTGCGGAAAAAGGAAAACGTAATGAAGAGTTAGGGACAAGGGTCAAAGAGCTCAAACAAAGCTCAAACAAAGTAACACAACGGCTTGAAGGACTCACAAAGAAGAAGAAGGAGATGATTGTTCTTCTGGAGGGAAATATTGCCACGACTATTGATTTGAGGCAAGAAAGCTCTAAATTACAACCATATGTATCTCAGTCACCGGCTGCCCTGCAGGCATCATTGACACAGTTGAGTAATGCCCTCAACACGGACAAGTCACAGATCGACGCTTTTAATCGACGAGCTCGTGCCTTGCAGACTTCGACGGATACGTTTTTGAGTGTCTCTGCAGATGTTGTCTCATGTACAAAACTTCTCGATGAAATTTCGACCGAATTGGCCAAAGAGGAAGATGAGAATGTAAAAGTGGCGAGACAAAAAGATGCACTCACTGAAAGAGGAAATAATGTCCGTGAAGTCGAAAGAACCGAGGGATTGCTACAGCGACAGTTGTCAATATACACCGAACGAACGGAGAAGCTCAGAGATGGTAGCAAAGAAAAGGCTATGAGTGCCAAGGAGAGGATGGAAGAATTACGAGCTGTGCATAGAAAACTCACAGAAGAAAGAAGCGACAAAGGGAGAGATATAGAGAGGAGGAAAGTCAGGATAGAGCAAACGGAGAAAAAGGTATGCACATTAGGCCTCTTGATAATAGAATGCAGATTTACTAACATAAAATAGATGGCGGACTTGAAAGAAAACATCGAAAATGAAATACACAGTGCGCACGATGAGTTCTTAAAGATGGACTCGCACATCAAACTTTACATCACCGAAATGGAGCAATCTATTTGATTCGGAGTAACAATTTTTGGATTTTATGTTGGACTAGCGATCATGGCAAATATGGTAATGAATGGGTATGGAAGGTTGGGGAGTGACTTTTGGCGTGTGGCGTTTGGGTATACCTATGATATATCATGATAATGACCTCCATACAAATGTATTCCTTCCTACGTCTGGAAATTGTTCATATATGATGCCCCCACTCAGCTTTCCCAAAGTCGAACCATCTCGCGAATACCCGCCCGACCTCTACAGTCCTTCCACTCCAACCACGATCTTCCCCCTCAAACCCAGCACGCCTCACACTTCCATTAAGCATCGGAACCTTTTCGTCCCATCCTTTCCACATTCCCTTCCTTCGTCCCATGTTCTCATCCGATTTTATCTCATCTCTATCAGTACTTTGAACGCCAAAATCGCCCCCACCCCCACCCTCACCCTCTCCAACGATTTCCATTCTTCCACCTCTCTCATCCTCCCTCTCCCTCTCCAAACACACCACTGCCCTCTTGTCCCTCCCACCCATCTCAACCAGGCCCGCCAAACTCCGACTCAACCCCTGCGCACTCCACTCACTCGTATCCCTATGTAACTCTAGCAATCCATACACAACGATCATTGCCCTCTTCCTACCGACCTTATCCCATTTCCGATCCGGGGTCCCTTCGATTTTCGAAGGGGTCTCTGGAGTAAGAACGGAGAGATGGGCGCGCAGATGAGATATGGTAGGGATGTAGATTAGGGAGATATGGCGGGAGAGGGAGATTTGATGGAGGGTTTTGAGAAGGAGTGGATGAGATGTGGTTTTAGTTGGTGCGATGGCAGAATCTGGGAATGGAGGAGAGGAAGGTATATCGTTAGAGGATGTCGGAGGCGGTGGGATGTTTGAGTTGATATCTGCCAGGAGAGAGGATAGGAATGCTGCGCGAGGTTTGCAGATTAGGATAGTGGTGGGATAGGTACTATGGTTTAAAATCCAAGTTAGGAGTTCAGAAGGAAGAGCTGGCGGGAGTGCGATTGGTGAGGTTGACATTTTAGATCCAAATGTAGTTATCGTTCTTTCGGTGTCGGGTGCGACAATGATATTTGTTTCTAGAGAATTGAGCTGAAATTAGTGCTGAAAGTTAATGATGCATAGTAAAACGGTAGTCCTCGACATTTTGTACCACGAGAATTAAATCATCAATCTTCATATAGACAATGTTTATGAAATCACGAAGAAAATAGTAGTAAATTTCCCAGGTTGTCATTACCAAATAATGCAATCCGTAAATATGCGGAACCAGAATCAACGATCGCTTATAGCCCCACCATCAGAAGCTCCCCATTGATCATGTTCCTCTGTAATCTCACTTCGTCGTCCATGACATGGAATCCATATCCAGAATATCCAGCTTGCTGGAAAGTGGTACGAACATTTCTTTTCCTGTCTTGCTCACCAGAAACACGAATTTACGATGATGTGGCACAATGATTTCATGCTAACGGTGACAATAGCAAGGGAACTCACACTCGATGCCGCGCAATCTGCGAGGAGCTCTCGAGGGGCAGCGGCGTTGAAGACGTTGCCGCCGCAGCAGATTAAGAAGTTATTGGATAGTAGACATGATAGGGAGGTACTGGAGGGGTTGAGGAAGGTCATCTCTGTATGTTTGCCTGGTTGTCTGCGCAATCCTGCCAGCTTGATATGAAATGGATTATGGGGCCTGAAAGTATAAAGAGACATGCTTCTAACAAAACTTGCAGATGATGTACCGTTCCCAACCATGCCTCACATTCTTCTCTTCCGTCGTAAAGAACGTCGCATCCCCGAATATCGAGATCAAAAAGTTGGTTTACATATACCTCCTTAACCACGCGGAACAAGAACCCGACCTCGCCCTCCTCTCTATAAACACCATTCAAAAGTCTCTCTCAGATGGCAATCCACAAGTCCGAGCTCTGGCGCTCAAAACTATGTCTGGGATTCGTGTGCCTGTTATCAGTCAAATCGTATCGTTGGCCATCAAGAAAGGGTTGGGGGATATGAGTCCATATGTTAGGAAAGCCGCAGCTTTAGCTATACCGAAATGCTATAGATTGGATCCGACTACTCTCCCACAGCTACTAGACTACCTATCGACCTTACTGGGGGACCGACAATACTACGTAGCCGGCGCAGCAGTAACTGCATTCCTGGAAATATGCCCCGAACGCCTCGACCTTATTCACAAGCATTACAGAGGACTCGTAAAGAAACTAGTCGACATGGACGAATGGTCGCAAATGGCCACCCTCCACCTAATGACTATCTACTCCCGTAAGTCTTTTCCCAAACGAAGCCGGCGCGTCCGCAAAACTGCCTCCAAAAGCAACGGAACCCAACAAAGTTTCTACGAAGACTCCGATGCCGAACAGGAAGAAGACACCGAAGAAACCAGCGAGACAGTTCAAGTGCTCGACCCGGATCTCGAGCTTCTCCTCAAAAGCATCAAACCCCTTCTTCAATCCCGCAACTCTGGCGTCGTGGTAGCCGTATCCCGCTGTTATGTAGCCCTCGGCACCCTAGACTATATAAACCATTGCATCGGTCCCCTCATAGCTCTCCTACGCGGCCCCTCAGATATCCAACACATAGCCCTATACAACATCGTTTCCGTGTGTCTCACACGCCCCGAGGCATTCGTCAAATACGCCTCTCATTTCCTAATCCGATCAACCGATCTCCCACAGGTATGGGAACTCAAGCTCGAATTACTCACCCTGATCTTTCCGCATTGCGACGCCTATATCAAGAGTCTAATACTGAACGAACTGGAACATTTCTCCCGCGGCTCGGATCGAGAATTGGTGACAGAGTCCGTGAGGGCTATTGGTCGATGCGCACAAAGTGATTCTAGAACATCCGCAAGATGTTTACGTTTACTATTGAAGCAAATCACAAGTCTCGATGGAAATCTAGTCGCCGAGTCACTTACTGTAATCAGACATCTTATACAACAAGATCCAGCATCTCATACACATACCGTTATTCGCCTAGCCAAGAATTTAGACACAGCTACAAATCCCGGGGCTCGAGCTACGATTATTTGGCTCGTTGGAGAATTTGCTGGTATTGATGGAGATAATAATATTGCACCAGATGTTCTTCGGATATTGGCTAAAGGTTTTGCTGATGAAGCAGAGCCTGCAAAATTACAAATTGTTCTTCTAGCTGCTAAAGTCTATCTACATCATCTGAACCGCACCACGCCAGAACCAGAACCAGAACCTATCAAACCTTCATCAACTCCTCAGCCTTCACACGATTACGCCAGCATTGAAGAAGAAAATGAAGGATTTGCCTCCCTTGACTCACCTCCTCAAACATCCTTCTCTCCACCCCCCGAACCGGAATCCGAACCTGATCACCCCATTATCATCCTCTGGAAATACATCCTCCTTCTAGCCCGCTACGATACCTCGTACGACCTCCGCGACCGCACCCGTCTCTACAAATCTCTCCTCGCCATCCCCTCCTCCACCCAACTCGCATCTCTCATGCTTCTTGCTCCGAAACCCATCCCCCACACCCCCAGTCCCTCCGAAAGCCGCACCAACTTTACTCTCGGAAGCGCTAGTCTCGTCGTTGGCGACGAGGGGGGTATGCACGGGTTAAGAGGCTACGAGGCACTACCTCCCTGGGTCGAAACTGGTTCCGAGCCAGACCCATCGTTGCGAGAACCCGACTCCGCTCGGAATGAATATGAAGAGAAGAAAGCTATGACGGCAGGACAGATACTAGATAGTGCCGTGAAAGATTTTAGGCCAAGTGTTTCACCTTCGAAGACGAATGGATTTAATGCTGGGAGCTCTGGCCCTAGCACAGCTCTAGGAAAGGAGAAAACACTTGATGACTGGTTAGCCGAGTCTGAGGAGGAGGAAAGTGACGAGGAAGAAGATGACGACGACGACGAGGAAGAAACCGGGGAAACGGACGAAGAGTCCGGAGAGGAAGAATCCGAGGAAGAGGGAGAAGAAGAGGAAGAAAGTAGTGATGATGATAAAGAGGACGCTAGACTAGTTAAATAAGTAATATCCCGTCGCGCGCAACTGGCTGCGCTACTTTCTAAAATACAAATATTGATTCAAAGATGGCCTTACACTAAGAGGCTTATTACGGTTAGGTCTCGCACAAGTACATCTTTCGCAGGCATAAAAATATTTAGTCACAACAGTAGAATAAGCCAAATGAATTGGAATATTAGAAATCATCTCTTGATGAAGAAACAGGGATAAAAGAAGCCCTCTGGCATTACTATTAGCCAAAGCACGTAGCTTGGCATTTGGTACTATCTGAAATTCTTCCGCTCTACTACCACTCTGAACCTGGGTGTCTGCTATGAACTGGGCAGAACGAACAGATTCCCACTGAAGAGTCTCCGTCTAGAATGGTTCTTTCTAAATTCAATTATTCCATGGGCTCCTGTTATGTGATGAATGCTTCGATGTATACGGAATGAGCCATACACTGTACAGAAAAATCAATCAACAATTGAAAAAAAGAAAGCCTGAACTCCATCTCAAAGAACCGAATAACGCCGCACTATGCATGTGACTTTTAATTGTACAGAGAATAGAAAAAGAGCCCTGATAGGCAACCGACTACTTGAAGGCTTGCTGGATCCAAAAAGGCTCTTTTGCAAACTATATGCGGTTTACCTGACCAAGACCTAATAAGTACCTAGGGATAGGATTGAGAAGCTAGCTACCAACGGCGACTACAGAGGTATATATTAGCATATGTAGACGCGGTCAAATTTTAATTCTTACCTGTAAGCCGCATCCACCACTGGCGCCGCTCTTTTGAGTTTCGGCGCACCATCCTCAGATGGACGCTGAGATTCTTTGCCTTTCTTGCCGCTGATTACTCGTACGATTTTGCGTGGTTTTACAGGTATTTTATTTATTTTCCCGAGGATTTCCAAAGAAGTAGGGCTTAAAGGAGATTCTGGCGAAACATATCCCTCATCTCCCTTTTTTAAGTTTTCCTTATCACCATTTTCCTTGTCATTATCCGTGTGGTCAGGAGGAGGTGGTGTTGTCGTGACGTTGTGTTCTGGCCATGGGTCGAACAAAGGCTCCTCTTCCATTGGGGGTGGAGGAGGAGGAGGAGGTATGTGCTGATTCAACATTTGTGGTGCGGAAAACGGAGGACGAGCGTTAGCATAACTAGGATCTTGTCTGAAAGGTTGATTTGCCATGCTAGGATGAAAAGCATGCTGCTGAGGATTGTAAGGTTGCTGGGCATTGTAGAAAGGCTGCTGGGTATGGAAAGAAGCCTGTGGGGGGTTGAAAGGGGGCTGCTGGCTATAGTAAGGCTGTTGGGCATTGAAGTGATATTGCTGGTTGTAGGGAGGCTGCTGAGGATTGAAAGGAGGCTGTTGAGTATAGGTGAGCTGTTGAGCATTGAAAGGAAGCTGTTGAATATATGAAGGCTGCTGAGCATTGTAGGGAGGTTGATGAACATTGAATTGGGGCTGTTGGCTGTAAGGAGCTTGCTGAGTATTGTAGGAAGCTTGCTGGGGATCATAAGGAGGCTGTTGGGGACTGTAGATAGGTTGCTGAAACTCCTCAATAGGAATCATGACTGGTGGTCCAGGCTCAACCGGTTTTGGGGCACCAGAAACACCTAAAGATGCCAATAACGCCTCCGTTGGATCGGCACTCTCCCCCGCCTGAGGGGCCCAGATATCGTCTGACGCTTCAGCAAGAGTGGGGCTTTTGTTCCCTGCATCATTATCACTAAATCTGGGCAAGCCGTCCGCATGGTTAGATGGCTGAGACTGGTCGTCAACCTTTTGTCGTTTGTTTTGCAAGGTTGAAAATTCGTTTTGTAATTGTTCATCCACATCGTCTTGTTCCGATGTGCTTGCTTTACGCTTACCGGTACGTGATATCACTGCAGATGCCTTTCGAGCCGCAACAGGTGTATATGCATTGCCATGCCTCAATTTCATATAAGCATCAAGGTCTTCAAAAGATATCGAGTCTTCTCCTGTCTGGGACTCCTGGAAAGTTGGATCTTCCTGTAAGTATGGCCACTGAGGTGTTTTTCTGACGCTTCGCATGTACTCCTTTAGATTTTCTCTTCTTGCATACCTCGATATCGTAATAGTTGATTTCTTATCGATGAGAGGGACCGGGGTCATATCAAATCTGTTAGCCAGAGGTTGTGCAAGCGCAACAGTTTCGTGTTTTTCGCCTGCGGGTTTGAAGATACTTTTGTAATCCCAATTGAATTGCTTCTCCTCGTCAGTCCGGTCACTGCCTTCCTCCAGAGCGGCTGGATGGCCATCCCATTCAGATATATTGTTGTTTGCAGTAGGCGAACCATATGGTGTACTATCCTCACTTGAAGCTCTTGATGCTTCGGCAGGCTGAGAAGAAAGTTTGTGGGGGGCAGTGTGTGGGGTATTTTTAGATCGAGGGATGTACAGCCCACGTTTATTCAGTTCCGGGGATTGAAATGAAGGCTGCTGAGATCCTAACTGACTTTCTCCTTGTTGAGACTGCTGAGACTGCTGTGACTGAGATCTTCTAAAATCACGATTAATGCCAGAATTTGGTTGCTCTTGCTGTGGTTGTGGCGCATTAAAGGGAGTCGCTGCTGGCGGTGAACCATTCCACTGCCCTTGATTGGACGGGCCTTGATCTTGATAGGTTGCTGATGGGCCTTGATTATTGTAATCTTGGCTGTAATCATTTTCTTGAGGCTGGAAAGGGGTAGTAGGAGTGGAAGGGAATGGATAATGTTGCCCATTCATGGGATGAGTTGGTAGCCCATATAGTTGTGGTGAATTAGATTGGGGATACTGGTTGAAAGGAGCTTGATAGCTTTGAGGTCCATTGGCAACAGGCTGTTTGTACTGCTTGTTCTGGTTATAGTTAGAATAAGCCTGGTGTGAGTGGCCCTGCTGCTGGTGGTTCTGCTGTTGAGGATGTGTGGTCGGATATTGCTGATAAGGCGGATTTGATGCTGCATATGAAGCATGTACAGGCGGTCCATTGATTTGAGGATATTGACCAGGGCCCGTAAATTGTGACACCGAAGCACTTTCAAAACCAGGATGGGGAGCATATTTGGAACCCATCTGACCATTTTGAACATTTGCCCACTGCTTTGTTTGGTGGATTGCACTATAAACATCGACATTTGCTGCCTGAGGAGCCTGAGAAGCCTGAGAAGCAGCCATAGCACTTGTTTACCATTAGCTTCACTCTCCGAACGAAGACAAAAGAAGGAAAGTATCAAGGCATGAAAACAGCTCATCACTTACACTTGACCATTTTGATTTTGATTTTGACAATCTTTGACATAATGACCTTCTTGGCCACATGTGAAGCAGATTGGGGGACGTCCATTAGGCGCCTTCGGTGGTGAAGCATTGTAATTATTGTTGTAGTTCTGAGGAGGCCCTGGAGGACCACCTTGAGACCAATTTCCCAACATAATGCACCCCCAAAAGAAAAGATACCTTTCTTACTAACAGATCATCGATTCGCTGAGAATAAATTGGGCGACGCTGGTTTGAGCTTGAGCTTGTGTCGATAGAAAGGGTAGTTTAAACAAGTATTCCGATGCGACAGAAAACACAATAGTAGCAAAATTGAGAAACCGAATATGCTTATTGATGGTTCCTTGTTATCTTGGTCCTTGTAACTGCGATAATGACAAGCATCGATGACTTTGATGGTAGAAAGGATTTCTTGTTGTCCATGAAATTGAATGTTCATAGATTGAGTTGATGTTGTGCAACAGTCTTTCTTTGACTTGTATTCAAGGATGAAATGTAGCTCTCCCTCCCCGACTCCCTAGTCAACCAAAACGAAGTACGGTACCTTGCTAGGTTCACTATTCCCAGCAAATCCACATGCAAAGGCGAAAATGGATGAAAGTATGTAGGAAGGAGTAGAGTAGCAAAGACAAAAATGTAACAACTTCTTATAATGTAACCTTGACCTGACCTGACCTGACCTGACCCGACCGAATAGAAGAGAATAATGTTTAGATGATTCCAAAAGAACTTTGTATCAATTGATATTAGGTTATGATGTCAGCAATTTTAATTGGATATCCTTTTCTATTTCGATTTCTTGAAAACAGAGAAGAGAGAAGTAAATAGGTAGAATGTCGTCGTTGGATGTATTATTGACTGATATGATAGAATGCAAAAATTATAGAAAAGGGAAAATGAAGAGCTGAGTTGTATTGTTGGTGGTTGCTGTTGAAAGGATAACCCAAAATGTCAATTTTCCTATGCAGCTATCAACTAGGATAACAGATCACGCTAATTTAAACGAAAATTTACACTAACTACGGTGATTCTTTAATTCATTCATGCTCGAAACTCTGCACTGGTTACCGGTACCGGTAGTAGGTATACCTATTTAATCAATCAACTTCATATCTTTCTCAACTACATATATTTGTTGATAAGTGACAACCCTTTTTTGCCTATCAACCTTTTCATATTTGGTTATGACTTAGAACTTTCTTAAGCGACAATGTTGCTTCGTCGAAATTCAATTTTGCAAGAAACCACAGGCTATATCAACTGGTGATCGAACTTCTTGAAGCTTTTTCAATATGCCTGGTCTGCCATGTAAGAATACAATGACCTTTCTAAACTAACCAGCGTCATACTTATGTATATCTATAGCTTCTGTCGATCTCGACCAATGTATAGAAAATCTCTACAAGAAAAATCTCCTCGCCGAATCCGTTATCGAGGCAATATGCGCGAAAACGAAGGAATTGCTGATGCAAGAGAGTAATGTGGTTCATGTGCTAGCACCTGTCACCGTGGTAGGAGATATACATGGCCAGTTTTATGATTTGATAGAGATATTCAAAATAGGAGGATATTGCCCAGATACAAACTATTTGTTTCTAGGTATGCCCCGCATTCTGACTCCGCACATACTTCCGCAATGCTAATATATCACTCACTCGTTAGGGGATTATGTGGATAGAGGCATGTTCAGCGTCGAAACCATTTCTCTTCTTGTCTGTCTTAAGCTACGATACCCACATCGCGTTCATTTAATAAGAGGAAATCATGAGTCGAGAGGAGTTACTCAGTCGTATGGCTTCTATACGGAGTGTTCGAGGAAATATGGGAATGCAAATGTATGGCACCACTTTACGGATATGTTCGACTTTCTTACATTGAGTGTGGTCATCAATGATCAGATATTTTGTGTCCATGGAGGTATAGTGTTCCGCACCAAGTTTCTGCTGCTCTGATCCACACAGCCAGATTCTCCTTGCCGTAGGAGTTTGCACTTGTACTGACATTCCTGTGCAGGTCTCTCGCCTTCAATACACTCCATCGACCAAATAAAAATTATAGATCGTTTTCGCGAGATCCCCCACGAAGGGCCCATGGCCGATCTAGTCTGGTCCGACCCCGACCCCGAACGCGACGAATTCTCCCTCTCACCCCGCGGCGCTGGTTACACATTCGGCGCACAAGTTGTGAAGAAATTCCTCGAAGTAAACAAAATGTCGCACATATTACGGGCCCATCAACTTTGCCAAGAAGGCTACCAAGTTCTCTACGACGATCGTTTAAGTACCGTATGGAGTGCGCCTAATTACTGTTACCGATGCGGAAACATGGCAAGTGTTCTGGAAGTCAGCGATACCGGGGAGAGGTTCTTCAACGTATTTGCGGCCGCTCCGGAAAATGATTTACATAAGGGGGAAATACAACAAGCAGGGCAGGATAAGACGGCTGATGGTAGTACGCTGCCAGACTACTTTTTGTGAGAAAGCCAGCACATAGAAACTAGATCTTATTTTCTCGACTCGCTAATCCTCATTCAATAACCGTCCTCGCTATTCGGCATCATGAAGGGAAATGCCAAGACTTTTCGGGGGAAGTTGGTACAGATACTTTGTGAAACTTCGAACCCGCTTTGGGTTGGTGCACCGAATCCTCCAGCCAAATAGCCAATGCGAAGACTACTAGTATACAATACAAATTTACTTGTCATCATATTCCGAAAACACCACACCCATAAACTGAACTATCATCATGATATGATGTATCGCATTTTACACCTACGAATTTCTTTTTGGTAAATTAAATATTCATAGAAGTAGGGGAAGATACCCTTGAATGGATGCAAGGGCAGCAGCAGTCATGTAATCCCATCCAAACACATTATAAATGAAGAGCAACGAGATACGAATTATTATACTTGAGGAAATAGTGAATGGGTTTCTTGAATGTCAAATGATGTACGCGCGCCTGCAGGAAAATAATGCCTCCAAACAACCACCGTGTATATGCTTTCTCAGAGTCCACAACTCGCCCGATCATTCCATCCAAATTATTTGCATGATATGACCGACATCTTCATCTTCAGTTCGTCACTCTTCATCTGATCATCTGTCCATGACTTTTTTTCCGTCCAAAGTAGAAATCTGCGAGGGGGTCCAAAAAGACAAACAGGGAAGAAAATCATCGACGATTCTTTTGCCCATAATACAAAAGCGAAGTCGTTCAAATCGCACGCGCGCAGGGGTATGCCGAAAAACTTGTCGTATGAGTACTAGCTATGCTATGTGAGGAGTGTCACGGGAGGCGGTTGGCGGTATGTCAGGTGAAAGGCAGAAGATCGGTGATGGAGCAGACGAGAAAATCTACCAGTCCTTGGCGATATCAAAAGACCACTCAAATTCAAGATGCTTCTTCTTGTCGTCGTCGATGAAGGTGGAGATAGCGGTGTAGTGACCTCGAGCCATCATTCCGCTTGGAGCGTCCTCATCGGCGACTAGGGGGTTTGGTTAGTAATGAGAAATCTGGGGTAGTCTGAGGGGGACGTACATCGCTTGGTGTGAACGGGGTTTTTGTCGGTGTTGGGTGCGTAACTACCCTGTTAAATGGTTAACATGTGGAACGTAGTGCAAGCTCTGAGATGAGTGAGGGCACTTACAATCATCTCTTGTAATTTATCGATTCTGATACCCTTGCGTTTGATGACCTGAACATATTGCAGACCACTCAAGACGTTGTGTTGCACTTTGAATGTAGCAGTGAGGTTGAATTTAGAACCCTCCTTTATCTTAAAAGGATGATCCTTCAAGGTCTTGAGAGCATCAGCGGTAGAGAGCTCGAGCTTGACTGGAGGACGACCCTCAGAGTTCATCTCAAGAGTAAGGATAATGCAGTCACGAGGATCATTTGGGTCACTGAGGTCATTTCCGCCACCGCCGAGTCCAAGGGATTCCTTGTAGCGTTGAAGGGATTCATCTTCGGCATCTGTATGAGAGATTTGGAGTCAGTAAAGAGCACATACCCATAATTTGGCTTCAGGGGATAACAAGTTTATTGCCAAAATGAAGAAATCCTGCTTATATCATCTAGCATAGAGAACACGATATATGATGGCATGGCATCTCATTGTATGTACGAGTACTTCTTTCAAACTTGAGATGCTGCAGTCTTTTAAAATCGGGTGGAAAGCATATTGCTTATCACCTGGATTAAATCGGGAGAAAGATGATGTATTGAAAGATACTGTTGCTCTTCACCCCCTTCGTCGATGGGACAACCAAGAAGTGTGTAGAACAGAGTTTTGTACAAACTATTGTACATTATATAGTCGCTCTGATCAAATCAAACTCCAAAAATTGACAGACCATAAGTTTGAATCAAGATTCCCTTCTATCATTTCATATACAGTAGTTCGCTCCAGACCGCTTCGACTGCGGGGTATTAGCTGAAGGGGTAAAGTTGACTCCAACTGGGGGCCAAGAATGTCCCAAAAACGCATCTTCCGAGTAAACACAAGCCGAAGATAACAGGAAGAGCTGAAAGGTAACAAAGAAGACAGAATTATAAAAGTGGTTTCAAAACATACCCATCTTGGAATACTCATCCAAAGTCTTCTTCTCCCCCACCTTGAATCCATCAGTTGCTTCGGGCAACAGCTCATTCTCTTGTTGGTCCGTCATCTTTGATGTATTGTAGTAGATTTGTAAGTAGGTGTAACAAGAAAGAATATGATAAGAGAAGGAAGATCTGTAGAAAGGAGTCCAAACACTGAAATTTAAAAGCTGTTGAGTTTGTGGATGCCGTACTTTTGATACAGCAGCGTTGGCAATCGAAATGCAGCTTAGTGGGGGGGGGCTCGAGCTGTGACCCCTTGCTTATGCAAGAATCTCGTGACAATGAGATTTATCAAATCAAATTGGAAAAGAAAAGAAGAAGGTGTTGAATAAAGACTCTAGATAGGTATTTAAATACCTAATTTTCGAATATGTAAGAGTTTATAGAAGTAACTCGTAATTTAGTGAGAGATTTCAAGGTATGTTGCAGGTTAACAATAATATTGAGTATCACGTGATATCTCCAATCATAAAAGGGGGCCATTCCCCGCCTGCTACAGCTAGCTACATCTCCATCTAGATACTCTGATGCTGTATCAATAATATAATAAATACAGTTCAAGGGTAAAGCAATCACTTATGGAAACGGTAACTCAGTACTCGTATAGGTAAAGACTTTATTCGTAGTAGAATATTAATCAATTTCTGTCCAACTCACCATGCATCTTATCTTAATTACTTTATCTAGGTATGCTGCCATGGTGATCTTCTCTATCCATCAGAACATAACATTCAAAGTACTTGTCTGTACTCAATATCCACCAATTTCAAAAATGTAAAATATAAAATATGTTATCCTTTGACAGTTTTGTGTTTTTTTTTCTATTTGGATGCATAGAAACGAACGTACCCTTTTACAATCCCGATTGAAAATAGAACATTGAGATATCTTGAAAGAGGCTACCTAGTAGGTATCTCATTCTCCATAAAGCTCGCATATGAATAAATGCAATGCACACCCGCCACCCGCCCCAACCCAGCCATCCAGCCAGCCAGCCAATCCATCTCAAAGTTCTTCATCAGGGATCGCAGAATCTTCCACTTTCCTCCTCTTCGCTGCTCCTCTTGTGACAAGAAAGTCTTCCACTTCCAAATAATCCTTGATGATAATTCATTCATCCCCCCTCCCATTCACACCTGCATCCATCCATAATCAAAGAATTCATCATCTTGCATTGCTTCCTTTCTCGTCGTTGAATTTTATCTAGGATCTAGGGTTACTCCGAATTTTGTTATTTGCTATCCGGTAAACTGTGATTTTGGCGGGAACACTCCAATCAAACAATTTCTTCGATAACCTTTCTCCGTGTCCTGTCGCGAACAGACCAAAGCCAAAGCTTCTTCACATACCTAGGTACCCTCCTTCCTTCAACAAACGCGCCATATCTACAACAAGAAGGTGTTGATCGTGATCGTGTTAAGTGTTCTTCATGTACGCTTCCTGCTTCTGTTTCACGTTAAACTGAATCAAAGTTCAATAATTATGTTTGCTAATCGCGTAATCACGAAACAGAATTACAGATTCTACGAAATCTTCTTAACGAAGTATTTATCACCATTAGGTTGATTCAATCTATTACTCCATTCGATAATCACATATCTCCATCCCCTTGAGCCCGTTACCATCACAATGCCTGCCTCGCGCCACTTACCCGCAAAGGTCAACCCGTTGATGACCGAGGAGATCCCACCTTGTAAGACGATGCGCCAGTCGCGTACACGGTTTGAGAACCAGAGCTAACAATCTTCGCAGATGAGACTTTGGTCGCTAGAAGAAGATTGGGACAGACAGATCTTGCTGTAAAGACAGGCCAGCTCAATACGTCGAACTCTACCCGGCCAAAGAACTTAGGCACTTTCGACTACGCGCATCTACGTGCTCCGTTGCCCAAAGGAATTCACAGCGGTATCTTTAAGCCTTCGCCCGCCTCGTACTTTCTTATGCGCCGTAGCAATGATGGCTATATCAGCGCAACTGGCATGTTCAAAGCCACATTCCCTTACTCGGAGACTGCGGAGGAGGAGATGGAACGTCGTTATATCAAGAGCCTGTCAACAACCTCTGTAGATGAGACCGCAGGAAATGTCTGGATCCCACCTCACCATGCGCTTGAGCTTGCGGAGGAATATCAAATCTTGCCATGGATCAAAGCTCTCCTTGATAACGCGCCAATTGAAGTTAATCCAACTAAAGACGCGGCACCTAAATCAATCGCGCCCCCTCCAAGGTTTGACTTCAAAGATCTCGCGTCAATTCCCGCACCAAAATTACATTTAGAAGAGGCCCCTCAAATCTCCCCTCCCGAGACCCTAGCCGCAGCAACTTCAATTCGTAGCCGGCCTCGCCGATCCGCATCACCTACTAAATATGCATCTCCATCCCCACGCAAGATCGCTCGAGTACGCAAACCAAGCGCTAGATTAGCAAGTGTGGAACCCGCTGCGGCTGCTACAAACAACGAACTCGAGCAAGTTCAAGAAAACGGAGATGTTGAGGCTGAGGAGGAGAAAGTAGAATCCACAGAATCCACAGCTTCCGAGCTGTTTAGGGGAGAACCAAGAGAAGAGGCTGAGGAGCCGACGGTCAAAGTCAATGTTAACACTGATGTTGAGGTTAATGGTGATGTCGAGACAACCCGCACTCATGTACAGGTCGAGATGCCAGCTAGCTCGTCAGACCTCCCTTTGCCAGAGGATACTGACGCCATGATCGCCAAGGCGAAAGAAATGGTGGAGGCTGCCGTAAAACAAAATAGCGTGATCTCTACTGGCTCAAAGCAAGTGAAGAGAAAAGCTGACGAGTTTGAGGAAGACATAGATGACGAAGAGGAAGAATCCTTGGACGCCGTTCCGGCCAAGAAGATTAAGGTTGAATCTGACTTGAAGAAGGAGAGAATCAAGACTCGAGCCTTAATTGGACTGAGTGCTACTTTGGCAATCGGGTAAGTTTTACTGCTACTTCATTGATCCAAGTTTTGTCCCAATACAATGCTAATATTAATTGCAGTGCAATGATTCCATATGTGTTTGGCGCATTTTAAAGTGGTCACGCTGGGCAAGGGTTGTATATGTCATGTTTTCTATTTCATCTACTGTTTATTAGTCCAGGGGCGTTCATGACAGGGACAATGGTTTTTCGGATGACTTTGAAGACCTGTGGTCTTTTGCTGGATAGACTACCAAGTGAAGAATAATACTTTTTGAGGTAGATATTACAGCACTAGAAGCCACAACGACGTGCTGGGGGGGGGGAAATGCGGTATCGTTCTTCCTCATACAATCATAGTGTTCTGATAGGCAAAATCAAATTAATTTGACCATGAATACAACTGAAAAGGACTATAAAGCTTGGGTTGGGGTCACATGATGCTGCGGTGCTAGTTTGTTCCTACTCAATTGCTGAAAAGGGGACTATTTGGGGAGTACCAACATCGTGCCTTCCCAAAGTACTAGGTGGGTGATTTCATTGGCGTCTTTTGCATCCTTTTCTCTCAAATCATGAATTCTTTCACAAGCAACCTTTTTTTCATATTCCATCACCAATTCCAATACGAGTACCTTTCACAATCAATAATCGGATGACAGTTATCGTCGTTATTAATTTTGCGTGCAGTGAGGCACAACTGTTGGAAAAGAGATTCACACTTTCACCATGGTGCAACTTGGCACACCAGCGAGCGATTTACGAAAACAGATCACTTCAACTTTTCCTGGGGGTATGACTGCTGCTCAGCTGGAAGAAGCAGTACATATAACTCCGCAAATTACTAGATTTAATCACTCAAGAAGACGTCTCCAGGCGCCAAGAACTCCCGATTCTCACGTTTCGAAGGATGCATTCAATGTTGGTGGTAATAAAACAGCAACGGCTTCAAAGTCAACTCCGATTGTGCAATCACCGGAATTCTCAGCTGGTGAAGATTTGAGCGATGAAAATAGGGAAACATCCGTGACTGTGCCGGCTGATGATGTTCAAAAGAGTATCTTGAAACCCACTGACACTTTCGATCCCCCTTCTCATGAAGACATTCCGCGCGCTAAGCAACGAGGTGGGACACTTCCAAGAAGATTTCTAAGAACAATCGCAAAAAGAAAGGAGATGCGCAGGGAGAAACGCAAAGAGTCTAAACTCGCCGCTTCATTTCCGGTGGAAGAAACATTCAATACAACGCCCCGTGAAGAAAAAGGTGATGAGTATGCGCGTCCGACTGCTTCTCATGAAGCCATTGGCGGGGCTGAAGTAGATATACTGGTCACAGGGCCTGAACCTCCCAGCAATAAGATGTTCGATGACAGTCAAGAGTCAACAAGTCTTGAAGAAATTATCCGAACAGCTCCTCGCCTATCCAATTCACAAGCATCGAAAGATCCTGGGACCCAGGATATCAGTCTCTCATTTGGACCTTCGCGGTTGGTTCGGAGAACTGGTATGGACTCAGGCGATGATAACAGTGATGATGATGATGATGATGATGATGAAGAGCTTAGCAATCTTGAGATTGCGATCCTTGACCTGGCTGACGGTGCTGGTTCATCTAGGCCTAAACTTGGTCCAGACAACTCAAATAATGCCATCGCTGATCACAAGTCTCAAAAGGGTCACCAAAGCAGCCAGAAAGAATGTAAGGAGAAGAAGGAGAAGAAGAGGCCTCGAAGGCTTCCGGTGAATGAACTGTACCTGGTATCAGAAAGGGTGCAAGAAACGAGCCAGGAGAAAGACGATGAAAATGGTACGGTCAGGGTTTTATCGATTCATTTCATAATACTGATTGGCATACAGAACAATCTTCAGCTGACCTTCCAGATGACCCTATCTCGCAAGATACCTTGGGTGCTCTACAAGTCATAGACGCCGTTGGGCGGACAAAGCACGAAAGAAAAACACTTCAAACATGGAACTATGGGGCTTTTGGGAGAATTGATACAAGAGCATATCGGTTCCCAACGCCTCACAACGCATCTCCTCAGGCGGAAGCAAAAGTTCCCCTGGAGGTAAGCCCGTCCCACTCGGATGGCTTTGTGGGATCTGAAGCAAATTCCACTGGTCGATTTATGCCGATGCCAAAGCAAAAGCGTATCAGCGTCACCATATGGGGACTGACGACTCGCGTAGGACAGTTAGACTTGGTGTGTGAAAGAGGCCATAAATTGATCGATGAGCCAACTGGCCAAGCGGAGAACAAGAGATCTCCAAACAAAAAAATCGCTATCATTGCTCCTGTATTATTCGAGCTCGAGTCTCAAGCGGGCGAGACAGTCCAAATTCGACAAACCGGTCAAGAGAACCAGAAGATCCATGAGGACCATCAGGATGATCGATATATGCCTGGATATCTCCCTGACAATCAAAACACCCCAAATGTAGAATATAGTTCTTCGCTATCACAGTCTCTGAAAGTATCCCGAAAAGTCACCTTCGAAGAGAGAGTGCAGGTTGCCCAGCGTGCAAGAACACCTTTATTAGATCCTCAAAAGTTTGGAGAATTTCTCAACGCTAAGGAAAGACATAATTCTCTTGACTCTCGAATTTGTCAGGAAATCGCCATGGTCCGCTTGAAGAGGTGTCACAGTGAAAGTAGCGAGGACGATGGGTCATCCGTAGATGAATCGGACCGAAGCGTTGTTAGCATCTCGAGCGATAGCGACGGGACAGAAGAGAGTGAGGAGATCAGTGAAGACAACAATGAAGAGATGGATGAAGGGCAGGAGATTGCAGGAGATTTCGATGTCGAAACGGTCTCGGAGGGGCTCTTAGATAGTGACACGACCAGTATCTCCGATGAAGAAGAATCAAGCGAGGTCAGCGAGAAGAGTGATGAAGAGATAGATGGAGAGGATGAGGAAGACAGGGGAGAATATTTCAATGTACAGGCGGTACTAAAGGAACAAGTCGATAGCCAAATTGGCGCGACTAGAATATCCTGTGAAGATGACTTGAGCGAGGTCGGCGAACGGAGTAAAGAGGACGACAGCAGAAACGACATGCATAACTCCGATGAAGGAGCTTTACAGAATGAGCAAGTCGTTGTTGAAGGTGACGCGGTCAGAATTTCCACCATAGAAGAGTTAAGCCAGTGCAAAGAGAACTCTGCAGAACCATTCGAGGATTTAATACCCGATGAATCTCAAATCACAGAAGCTGATACGAATGGAGAGAATGGCGACAGCCAACCGTCGCAGCTATCCATCATCATGAGTTGGAAAAACACCCAAACCATACAGGAAGCTGATATATGGAGACCCCGAAAACCTAGGTCTAGTAGTGTGATGAACGAGACAGAAGAAGATATCGTCGATAGTCCAAGTCCAGTCTTCGCAATCGCCAAGCGAAGGAAATCAAGTGGCCTTCAGGCACGTAGACGGGGAGTATTCGGCAGCCGCCCTCTCGCCCTAACGATAAGCAGGCCCTCTACTTCACCTAGCCCTGAGATCGAAGAAAGTCAGATTGTGGTACCCGAGATTCCGGAAACACAATTCATCGCGACTCGCGATGTCTCTCCTGAGCTTGGCGAATCGCAAGCATCCAATATGTCTAATGAGCTCGAGGATCCCATATCTAACGCACTGCTCCCTGGTGATCACGAAGGGCTTTCGCCTCGTTTCTCGCAACTTTCGTTTGTCCCAGATGAGATTCCCGAGCAAACCTACTTTTGCCGAGCTTCTCAGCTACTGGAAGAATACCAGACGCCAAAATCTAGAAGTAAATCAACTCCAGGTCGTTTCCACCCTGTGTACTCTCGTATTGCGCTTCCCACTTCTGCCCAGCCAACCATCGGAACTACTGCGAGTGAGGCCTTTGAAGCAAGGACATCACCCAAATTCTCACAACAGTCATACCAACCCACGCCTAGGTCGGAAAAAAGTCTGAGTCGTCTTACACGACAGGCGAGCTTTGCCTTTGGGACTTTACCAGTCTCTGCTAGGAAGAGAACGAAAACTTTGCCATTTGTTCCACCATTCAAAAGACCAAATTTGAGTGTTTAGCGTCGAATCATTTGCGCAAACAAAGATGATTTATGCGCATATTTTGAGGCCTTGCTAGAATATAGGAGGAATATCTCGATGGACGCTTCTTGAGCCGTAAGAGGAGAATAATTTGCTATATAGGAGAGAGAATTTTGGAGTTGTGAGCATGATCAAGGATTATTTGAGAAATATATGGAGATTGAGCTATTAGCAATGGCAAAAGAAATAGAGAAGCATTTGGCACCACGGATGGAAGGATTGAAGAACGGATGTCCATAGTCCCATTCATGCTATATTCCTGAGCTATATAGATATCATTTTATAACAGCCATTGTTATACTGGTCAATTGACTCATGATAAGTTAAATCTAGTTTTGACTCACTCATCTCGATTGTATCTCTAATCCTGAGCCTGCTAGTTTTGTTTGAATAGACATTAGATATGCAATATAAGCATCTATCATCTATCTCATATCAGGTGAAGTGGTAGGTATTCGCCTTCTATATCTTAGGTTTGGATATATCGTTTCATCTCGTCTAACCCCATCTCATCTTCATCACGTCCGTCCATCTATTTTCTTATCCAATTCCTTCCCCTTCCCCTTCCTCCCTCCC